CGTTAAAGAAAGAATAGAATATAACTAATTTACAAGACATTCATATATTAAACATTTAACCAATACCGTTAAAGAAAGAATAGAATATAACTAATTTACAAGACATTCATATATTAAACATTTAACCAATACCGTTAAAGAAAGAATAGAATATAACTAATTTACAAGACATTCATATATTAAACATTTAATCAATACCGTTAAAGAAAGAATAGAATGTATCTAATTTACAAGACACTCAAAATTTAATTGGCTGCTTCATGTGATATCATTCATTTTTAAAATCTACATGAAAACCGTATCAGTTGGATTTCAGACTTTCATGACCACATTTTCTTAAGCCTTTACGCCTGAAGCAGGTATCTCCCAAAGGAAGAAAGGAGGAGATACTTTCAAAGAATAATAAGTATTCCGTTTCAACTTGTTGATGATGTATCTTCCTGGAAATGTTCCTCGGCATTTTTATTTCTGCAGATTCTTTTCAGACTGCCTTCAATAACTCAGAACTCTAGCATAGCAAATCTAAAATAATATTAAACTAATATATATGATACAAATAGCAAATTTAAAGTACCAAAATCATCCCCCTAACTTCAGCTTTATTTCATGTGGTAGCCAGATCAGTTAAATAAACACATAATTATCCTCCTAGCTCTACCTTTATTGTACAGATCAATTAAATTTCGGAGTGAGACGACATAATTAGCTTGACTTAAACAATTAATCGCGGGAGTTCAGTAGAACGGAATTGTGATAAAATTACATATAAGTAATAAACAACGTAATATACATTAGCATTTGACATTATTGTAATTACGAACATAATTACGAAATTATAAGATCAGTAGCTGGATATGTCTGTCCAGCCTGGATAATTACAACTAAAACGCATTAAAAAAAGCTGTAAGATATCCAAACTAAATAATCAATTCACACTTAAATCTGTAATTCTCCCAACAATTCTGTGCTTCTACGAAACAAGCAGCGTACCTGTTGCAATGAATACTTTAGGGAAAATAAAAAAATTAAAAAATAGTGTTTTAACAAAATTTGAATATGATAATATTCAAATTAGATTTACTTACTCCAAAACTTTCGTTTTTTTTGTTTTTTTTTGTAATGCTACCTAATTTTAGAGGCACATATGAGCGGAACTGAAGGTTATTTATTCAGATTGTAACATAAACCTTGCACTGATGATCTATTATCATATATTTATCTCAAAGAAAGTCAAGTCATTCATGGATAAAATCTAATAGTCGCACGAACTGATGATTTATTACGAACTTTTTGAGGAAGACAGATGTCCAATTTCCAGTAACATGAGTATTTTAAGTGAAGATTAAAAAGAACAACAACAAACTGCTTCAGCTATGGAAGATAATAGAAGTTAATAGAGCCAACTCACCATGACCTAAACACAAGCTAAGAAACTGGTTATACCGGCTTGTTTGATCGAGATGATTGCGTTGTTACCATACATTTGTTCTAATATTAATGTTTAAGATCATTTTACGTCGGCGAGATTAAATCAAGGGGCATAAAGAAGTTATGCAGAACTATACAAAACTATGTGTATGACATCAGTATTAATCAAAACTTATGACTGCGTGACTCACTACTATACGATTCCATCGAATACTATTTTTAAACAACACCAAATAAATATAAAATTCTAAGTGAATGCTTTAAGACCTTTTAAGAACAAGCACGATTTTCTATTTTTATGGTTACAATTAGTTGTGAATATAAGTATAGGTAGTTTGCTCTGATCGGATATTATGATATTAATATAGTAACTGTCTTGAAAAACAGAGAGGTAATATAAGCGTGTTTGCAGTCTAAGTGGAACTCTGTTGATAATTTTTTTAAAAGGTGAAAATTACAGGTGAGAACGAGATTAGACGAATATCCTTTAATCTCGTTGTAAAGGTTATTTATAAAACTTACATAATGTAGTTTACTATCCTTCACTGGTTTCGAGTATGAGTCACGGCTTTTGAAATACCTTGGTCCTTTTTGTTTGTTTTCGGAATTCTCGGGCAAAACTACTCAAAGGACTATCCGCATAACGTTTAACTGATACACTAGAGGGGAGGCAGATAGTCAACAGCGCTTCTTTTATCTGTCTGAATAGTGAATTTGACTCTAACTCTCTTAATGTATTAACCACCACAAAGTGCGGAGCGTGTTTTAATGGTAATGAGACGCAAACCATGAACCATTATACATACAGTCTGAGCACGCTAATCATTAGACCACACCTGGCTCGTGTAAAGCTGGCTAGTGGAAGCTCACAGAAAGACCCGTGAAAACGTTACAAGGGGCTGGTTATTTGGTGATAATTTCCCCAGTACAATTAAATTGCTAAAAATAAGTTAAACTTTATAATATTACAATGTATTAATGTTATCAGGTCACAATTTTGATATTCTGTTATTAGTGTCTAGATGCCACATAACTTCTAGGTGGCACTTTTACAGTGTCTGCGTGTTATCAAGACACACGACTAGTATAATCTTCTGTTTACTGGTCAAATAACTTTCGTACTCTATAATTAACGTCTACCTATTGTTTAGCTTCACGATGTTTATACTATACCGCCATTATTCTCGGCCTGTAGGTCATGGACCTCTAGGAATCTAGGAGACCAGTAAGCATTCTAAAGGGGCGGGGGTTCCCGCGATAATAAAGACCAAGTTTCTATGTTATAGGTAAAAAAGAAACAGTACCATGTCGATTAATTAAAATTATGTTATTGTTTTGTATTTACGGATAACCAAGTAAATATGTTGAAGAACTTCTCTTTTGAAAAACACTACATTTCGTTAGGTTTATCTAGCATTATCAAATGACAAGCTTTTATTAGAATCATACTAAAGTTCAAACTGACATGTGTTACAATGTCAGTAATGACATTATCCACAAATAATTAATATATATATATATATATTATTTAGTTTGACAAGTTTTCCTATAAATTAAAATAATGTTTTATTTGAAGTTTGTTAAACTTATTTGTTTTAGTAACGCCTTTGTACGTTGTAAGAACACCTTCCAAAGATAGACCTATCTGAATGTGAGTTAGAAACACCTTCCAAAGATAGACCTATCTGAGTGTGAGTTAGGAACCCTTTTCAAAGATAGATCTATCTGAGTGTGAGTTAGGAACACCTTCCAAGGATAGACCTATCTGAGTGTGAGTTAGGAACACCCTCCAAGGATAGACCCTTCTGAATGTGGGGTAAAAATACCTTCCAAAAATAGACCTATCTGAGTGTGAGGGTCCGCAAGACTTTTGATTCATGAGTGGATCCATAAGAAAAAACTATTACAATCCAATGTTCTACTGTTACATGGTCGTGTTATCTAGCCCCGTGGTTTTCATTGTTTACACCCTACTGTTACAGGATGTACATGTTGTCTAGCTTCACATTATTTATACTATACCATTACACAACTTACGTGTTGTCTAGGCTCACGATATTTATATTCTACTGTTAGGGGACATACATGTTGTCTGGACTTACGATGTTTATACTCTACTGTTATAGGATTTACATGTTGTCTAGCTTCACAATGCTTATACTTTACTATTATGAGACATACATGTTGTCTAGACTTAAGATGTTTATACTCTACCATTACACAACTCACATGTTGTCTAGACTTAAGATGTTTATACTCTATTATTACACAACTTACATGTTGTCTAGTCTCACGATGTTTATACTCTACTGTTACAGGACATACGTGTTGTGTGGACTCACTATGTTTATACTTAACTGTTACAAGATGTACGAGTTGTATAGTGTTTATACTGTTCTGTTGCAGGTTCAACCTTCTGTTCAGGCAAGCTATTTTAACATTCTCTTCTTATTGAATACTTACAGTTGTTTAGTCGGTAAATCAGGTTTTAAATATTGTTACATTTGTTATTTAACTGTGTACTGCTTTCGTTATTTTCTTTTTCTACTCTCTCGATACAAATAAATTCTAATACAGATAACAGAAGTGTTAAGTCTTATGAAAATACAGACTTAGTTAAACAAGACAAAAACTATCTTTATAAATACCTGTATACAGAAAATGTGTCACTGATTTGCTTTTATTCGGGAATTTCTATATAAAGTGTTAAACAATATCACGCTCAGATGGCGGAAAATAGATCAATAACATACTTGAACAAGTATAACATTTTCACTAATATAAAGGTTATCCTTAATTAATTGTCAGCAGCTGTTAACGAGAAAGGTTCAAACATTGAATTTTTAAGCAGAAACATCCTTAACTATACATATGAAAATACAGTTATAACTACAGATATTAAAGTAGGAAAAATATGCCGGTATGTGCATAAAGTCGATATCCTTTTTATAAAATTCACAGGCTTAAGTCACAGCTTCGAATATTCAGCTAAAACAGTTTCAACATAATATATGATATAGCTAATAATGCACAGGCAGAATTAGTAATTTTTTTTCAATAAGAATAACCTTTAAGTGTGAACAAAAATAAAATAATAACATAACAATGCATAAATGTTAAAATGTATTCCCAAGATTTGTTTTAACTAAACACTCGGGGTACTGAGGCTAAGAATGTCCAAATATATTCAATGTTTAAACTAACAAAGAGGCTATATAAATTAATTAAAGACATAATGTTGAAACTAAAGGAAAGCGGCACAGACTCAGAGTTTGACTATAAAATAAACCATTCAAGGCAGTGTTTGATTTTCGAAACGGACGCACAAACATTGCACGTCTGGAATTAGAACACATACATTAATCCCCTTGCAACAATATCCCAGAGAGCGTTAATTAAGGGCGGGCGAGTTTCTTACGGAGTAAGATGATGTTGACGTCACAGGACCGACCACACGAAGTAAAGCGTTGCGCTGTGGCCAGGAAATTTATACGCGGACCATAACTTGCGATGAAGGTGTTAAAGAAATAATGTCTAACAGTAACATTTCTGTAGTTTTTAATAATAATTAACTTGTCTTCATTGTATGAATAGAAGGTTAAGATGTCCACCTTAAACAAAGACCGTTACCACAGAGCTGCACGGGCTGGGTGCATTGATCTCCTACAAAATACTACAAGGAAGGATTGTAACGCCCCAGACAAAGAGGGTAAGACGCCAACACAATGGGCAGCTTACTACGGTCACCTGAATGCTTTACGCCTACTGATTGGCAGAGGGTAGGTCTTTCTTTTTCCCCATTATTGTTGGATAAGAAGACTAGTAGAAGAGACTGTTTGATCACCCATTATCTCTAATTTGTATAACTAAAATGACCAGGTTACTCTCTCGTTTGTTAATCACTCAAATAAGCTGTTTTAAGACGATTTACATTAAGTATTCAAAGTCTGAGGGTAGCACAGTACGTTTTGAGGATAGTTTTTCTATGAAAATTGAGAAAAATAAAATAAAATTAGTTATTACGAGATAATGTTATTTTATACTGTTAGAATATGGTGGTTGGCTATTTTTCAAAAACTCAAGTAAAATAAAAATGTCTGTAACTTATTTAAATATCGGTTTTTGGTTAATTCTTATCATTTCATTTGTTGCTCGTTTTTTCTTAGTTTGAGAAAAGTTATACAAAACATCTTGTAAAGTGAAATAAAGATGCTTATTTGTCGCTTTCAATTTGTTTTTTAATTTTCGGATATAATATTTTATTTCTATTTTCTTCACGTTCGGATTACGGTAAACGTATTTGAAAAGCTCGATTTTACTGTATGCTTGAATGTTGAGTTTTACCACGAGTTTGGTGAGAAAAATCTCAGGTATAAAGTTCGTTTTCATCAATCTTCACGAATCTTAAGTTAATTCCAGACATTTTGTGATTATTTTTTCACTTTAGATAAATTTTTACCTCAACTTTGACACTTTAATTTTCGAGAAAGTTTACATTTAGTAAACTAGAAAGCTAGAAAGCGGTAAGCTAGAAAGCCTATAACGCTAAAAGTTGGGGTTCGATACTTGCAATGGGAACAGTACAGGTGTTCCATTTCTCGTAGCAATATACAACTAATATTGGAACCATCTACAAGTTTACTTACTGATTAAGTATATTTTATTACAAGTTACAGCTTGTTTCGATCACCAGTGCGATCATTCTCAAGTGTATAACTTATTGTGTACTTGAAAATGATCGGACCGGTGATCGAAACGTCGTATATGTTCTAAAAACAAATTTAACTTCCTGTAAAAGATGTAACTTGTAATAAAATATCTATAGTTGTGTCAGAACACAACTATAAAATAATGATAATTTATTGAAAAAATATTACAAGTAGATCCAAAATGAGTAACTTTAGAAAATTGAGAATAATGTGAAATACTGATAGAGGTTGGAACATATTGTTCAACCCTTTGGAAAAGACAGTAATTTCGATTACAATTATGCAGAAACATTCTGACTCTAAGATCTTCTCCTGCAATCATTTTTAAATCTAATAAGATTATAAAGACCAGTCCACTACTGACGTTGTTTGGATATGAGCTTTGTATCATATAGAGACTATACAAACAGGTCCGACGCCAGCCTTTTCCAGGTGTGTGCGTGTATGGGGAGAGGGGATGGAGGTGGACCATACAGAATATTGGGGGGGATTTCGGTTTCAAGATGTGTAGATTACCAACGCCGCTCCTGCATAGATCCATTATAGTGAATCTATTTTTATTTTTGTGGACAAACACATGGTCATTCTCGAAAAAAATGTATATACCTCTAACTAGCAAAACTCAGTGATTTGTTCTGAAAAACAATTATTTTTCTACTAAATAGAAGTGTCAGCACAGTTCCTAGAAACACATACTGTACATATGGACATTTCAGTAAAAAACTGATCTACTAAGAAATACTATTAGAAATAGTGATCTCATTTGATAGGTTCATAAAAGTTGGTTATTAAAATTGACTCTATTGATACCACATGTAGACGCTTGTAAGACATGTAGGATACTTGAAGCTGAAGCTTGGACCCTACAACTATAAATACAATAGTCTACTATATTTAACACAAACTGCAGCCTCACTTAAAGGCATATAACATTACAAAATGAAAGACAAATAAATGCATTAACACCGCACAATATCATTTGTATAGAATAAAACTTATGAATTGTTTAAACTTTTAAACATAAAAAACATGTGAAACTCGGAACTAGTAAGACTTGAAAGGCTTTGACAGTTTACCAAGCATATTCTGGCTACATTTTACTGAAAACAATAATGTCTTTTTTTAAATGTTGAAGTCGAAAAATCAACAAAAGACAGCATTTCTAGGACTATATTCAGAAAAAATATACCTGGCTGATATTATTGTGATTTTCAAAGATGTACCGACTTTTTCTTAAGTATTCATCTCTGTACACTTCTGTAAACGTTTAGATTATGCAACTGCCTGTGTAGATGCATCAGAAAAATCATATATACCAAATAGATATTTTCAAACTTTTGAACTTAACACATTTCCAAAACCAATCAAAACTTTGTTTCGAACTTTTATCAGTGTAGGTATCAAATACACATATTTAAAGTGAAGTTTAGCTTTATTATCCCCTCAGGAGATACAGAGTCCATTAGAAAAAGTGGGACTCGTTCTTTTGTTTTCAGTCCCGCGTTGATGGAAAATTCGACTAAAGTGTTCATTTTACAACACAGTACTTTTAAAATATATATAAATGTAATATCACATTTATATTTTATTCTTGACTGAAAAGTGTTAACTTCATAATTTAAAAAAATCATCATATTTTCAGTAAACCTATCATATTTGTCCTTATTGAAACCGTGTTTGTTTTACTACAAAATATAATAAAATTAAAGAAGAACAAACTTGGTGATTCTAGTATGTGAACATATGCAAGAAATCATTCAAAACTGTTTCATAAAAGTTATGTTGTTAAAAATCAGCATTGTTTCACGGGGTTTATGAATGCCACTCTTTTTGAAACACACACATCGGTAATCAGTTTTACGACGTAAATATGTTCAGCCCCCCAGTAGCACAGCGGTATGTCTGCGGACTTACAACGCTAGAATCCGTGTTTCGATACCCGTGGTTGGCAGAGCACAGATAGCCCATTGCTTAACTTCAAACAAACCAAATATGGTGGAGTTTTGTACTAAAGACCCGTACATGAAGGACCAGCTAGCTACGAGTTTGTTAAACGAAACGTACTTTCTTTCTTATCAACAACATTTTATTTGTATATATATTCTGGTTTGAAATGCATTTTTGATGTGTGATAACAGTTTAGATGTTAAATGCATTCTGACTAAATAACAGGTTCAAAAGCTACATATATCTGTATTAGCTCCTTTTTTGGACTTAAGTACTATAAATCTACTGAGTAACATCACTTTAAAAGACAGTGCATTATGCAAAGTCAAATATGCATAAAGGCTAAATATTTCCTATTTATGAAAGTACTATTTTGTCTAAACAAGGAATAAAAAGTAAAGCTATAATACCAGTGCATTCAACTAAAAAGCAGTTTCATATTCGTATATCAACTAAAATATTGTGCTAAATCATGTGTATTAAATATCATAAACTAATCTTAATTTTATAAAGCTGAATGAATTCCAAAAAACAAGAGCTTGTGTATCGTATAAATATAAACATTATTGTTATTATAATTTTAACTTTATCGACTACCATTTTTATAACATGACTTATATGTAAATCCCAAATGAAAACGCCAGTGTTAGTTTACAGAACAAAAATAATCCACAAATATTCAGGAATTATATATTGTGCTTTATATTGTTAATAACAATCGGCCATTTTGTTATTAAAACAAATTACCATTAGATTTTGTAATTAAGTATTCTTTGTATTCTTTGCTCAGCGCTATTTTCCCGTCTCTTTAAATACAGTGTATACTATTGAAACTACCTTTGAATTTATAATACCAGAATTTCAACCATTTCTAAACATAAGAGTGAAACCATTTCTTTGCAAGCGACCAGTTTTATTATATTATCATTGGTACGATTATAATTTAGAACGCGGTTCATCCTTATTATTGTATGTCGCTGTGGCCACATTCAGGGGGTCTTCTGTGTTTTTCTTTTAGAGTATCTCAAAAAGTAATTTTTGCTTTAGTTGAATACAGAGTAAATTTCATTGTTTTACTTTGAGAGTTTGTTTGTTTGTTTTGAATTTCGCGCAAAGCTACACGAGGGCTATCTGCGCTAGGCATCCCTAATTTAGCAGTGTAAGACTAGAGGGAAGGCAGCTAGTCATCATTACCCACCGCCAACTCTTGGACTACTATTTTACCAACGAATAGTGGGTTTGACCGTCACATTATAACACCCCCACGGCTAAAAGGGCGAGCATTTTTGGTGGGACGGGGATTCGAACCCGCGACCCACAGATTGCGAGTCGAGATCCCTAACCACCTGGCCATGCCGGGCCTTACCTTGAGAGACGCTGAGCTACAAAAGGTTAGATAATAATAGATAATGGAGCATTGAAGGTATTCAACCACGTTACTGTCAATAATTGTGTGTATGTATATGTACATGCATTTATGGTATCCACTCTAATTTATTTCGTTGAGATTTTTCTTTTGTTCTTGAAACAAGTAAATTCGCAAGATTTAATTATTTTGATACAGCCTGCGAATGAGACAAGTATCTAAGGTTTGATATGGTTAGCTTATGGAGCGTAAAGGTCAAGGTTTTCATACGTGGCGAGCATGCTTTAGAAATTGATCGTGTTAGAATTTTCGCGCAAAGTTACACAAGTGCTATTTGCTCATAGTCGTCCTTAACTTTGAAATGATAGACTTGAGGGAGAGCAGCTAGTCAACTGCACCAACTGCTAACTCTTAGGTAGTTGTATAGTCCAAAATTTAGAAGTACCGGAAAGCGGGGAAAGGGGTTCTTAAATCTTAAACATAAGCTACCAGTGAAGCCTGATTGGCAGTCTTGGACTACTTTTGTCTGTCCGACTGGGATTTAACCGTCACTCTTAAGGTGCACCCTTGGCCTAAAGGTGCGGAGCGCATTTTTTGAGGCAACGGACTGCGAACCACAAACCCTCGGAATCATACAAAATTATACTTACAGTGCTAACATTATATATTTATACAAAGTTTCTATGGTTTGGTTCTATATTTAACGCAAGCTGAGGTATATGTCCTTTGTCCGGGTTATGAACTTTTTAAAAAAAAATGTGGGTAGATGCTATGATAAATAACACAAAAATCGTAACTTTCAAACAATTTACTTATAACATAACGTGTTATAACAATATTCTTTATTACCTCACCAAAAGTTTTGTATAGGTTTTAAGAAATCAATATGTATATACTTAAAACATGGTATACACTGTGCGATGCTCAGGGTGACTATATTTCTTTATATTAGAAACTTCATTGGGTTTACGTATTACTGCAATAGTGGCGGTCATTTTTTTCCCATTGCATTTCTCCATAGAGAGTGCACTCTCTGAGATACATAAAACGTTAGTGTACCCTACCCCACCACTGTATATATATATATATATATAT